ACTGCTATACCACACTTCACCAGCAGACGGCAGCATAGAACAGGCTATGCTCCAATCTGATCATTCCTTAGCCTTCAGGTAAAATAATTTTCTCTCAATATAACATAAAAAAGAACTATATAATTTTTAATTTCTGCATATTCTGTTTACATAAAATAGATTACTCAGTATATCAGGAGTTTTTGATAATGTCTAAGAATTACTTTTTTGTTCATGAATTTTTTTTAACAACTTCAAGAGAAATTCTCACTACACATAGGGCTCAATAAATTCAATAGCATTTACTTTCATGTAAATATTCAGACTGTTTTACAAAGTGCCATCACCCACGTTATTTCATTTCATCCTGAGGGTAACCCTGAGGAATCAGTTTTTCCCAAGTTTATATGTTAGGAAACTAAATGAAGAAGTTAAGTACCTCATCCTTAGCCGGGCTGCAAACCCAGGCTTCCAACTTCAAAGCCAGTGTCCTCTCCCACTTACACACCCTCTCTATGCAAAGAGAAACCTTGTCAGGATAGCACGATGCTGGCCTAGTCTCTTTATCAGACAATGAGAGCCCAACTATGAAACAAACATGGATTTTAAACACAACAGAAACTGTCCCTCACCTTTTATATAACTTGGAAACAGTTATGAAGCAACTGTTAAGTGCTGGGTACTGTACTTGAAAAGAAAGGTCTAAACAAACATGATTAAAGAGCTCTGAACAACAAAATAAGCTCTTAATTAAAAAGTGACTCCCGAATAAAAGACAGTCTAAATTAAATATATTTAAATAATTTACTCAGAACATTTTTCTGAGCACCTACAACCTGCAGGTACTGTGTTAGTTATCTCACCATAAATCAGAATCATAAAATTCTAGAATTATGGATTTGGACCTCAGAGACCATCAACTCCAGCTCCATCCAGATCACAAAGGATGGATGGTAAGTGACTTATCTGTACTCACACAGTGAGAGAGGTCAGAGCTAAGCCCAGAGGCCAGTTCGTGGTCCAGTACTCACTCTTTCCACTCCACCTTTAAAGAAAGCGCCCAATAAATGTTTCCTGAATGTTTCTCAGAACAGCACTCAAATGCCATGAGTTCAACTCACCTCCCTTCTAAGACGGGTAAAATATGTGTACACTGGTATCCAGATGAAATGATGAGCCCGCTGGAAATCAAGCTCTTTGGCTTATTGTGGTAGAAGCTGAAGAGGCTGTCTATTCCGTAGGCAATCTTAGGAATCCCGTAGCACTCAAAGAGAAGCTCCGACATCATTTGTCGTGAATACAGTGGGTTGCACACGGCTTCTGTCAAAACTATGGGATGATCGACACAGCCCTACTTTGAAAGAAAAGAGTAAGTTGACAGGTGATGAAAGAATACTCTTTTTTTAAGCATTTAAAACAAAACAAAACAAAACAAAACCCTCCAAATCCTTATTGCAAGGGCTGAATTTGCTTTTGATCTCCAATCAAAAATCTGATCAGAACCAACTGTAAAACTCTCATCTCTCCTGGATATTGCTTTGGAAAGTATGAAAGTAAGGTCTACTTAAGGTGTTTAAGTAAAGCCCCAACCAAACTGTCAGCCAACACTGTTGGCTCTATCTTCAAAATATCTCCAGAATCCAACTGCTTCTTACCACATCCCCAATTCCTCCATCATCCCCATCTCCTAACTGCAACAGCCTCATAACTGGTCTGTTTCTACACTATGACCCAGGCCAGACCATTCTCCATACAGCAGCTATGGTGATCCTTTTGGAATATAAGTCACTTATATTGGCAAGTCCCTTCTCTGTTCAACACTCTGCAATGGCTTCCCATTTTACCCAGAGTTAAAGCCTGTAAGGCTTGTGACTTGCCCTTTCGGTACCTCTCTGACCTCCTCTTCCACTTACTACCCTCCCCCTCACTCTGGCTGCCTTCAATTAGGATTAGGGCACACTCCTTTTTACTGGCTGATCCCTCTCTCCAGAATAATGCTCCCTCAATCACCTCCCTTAGTCCTTGCTCAAACATCACCTTCTCCCTGAGTCCTCCCCAACCATCTTACTGAAAAGATGTAACCCTCTCCTCTCCTGCCATAGAATCTACTACTGAATTCTACTGTTTACTTTTCATACTAGAATGTCTTTACATACCAGCTCCGTAAGCACAGGAGATTTTGTTTTATGTTCATGGATGTATTTCAAACATCTAGAAAAGTGCCTGACACAGGGTAGGTGCTCCTCACATATTTGTTAATAAATTCATTTATTAACAAACGAGCATTAGGTGCTCCAAGAGAAAAGGGTGTTTTGTTCACTGCTAAACCCCAAGCATCTAGCACAGGGCTTACACACGACAGGCGCTTAATATTTGATTAAGTGAATGACTAAATGACAGTCAGGACTATTGCAGTCACTATAGTCCCTCAGAGGGCAGAGTGCCCGGAGACACATCTCAACCCACCCGCCCTTCACCTGTGAGGAGACACCCAGATGCTGGAAGCTGTAGTCAAGCAGCAGCTCCTGCAGCTCCAGGTTCACCGGCACGTTGC